AGAGATATGGAATACCTTAAAGCGATACAAGTGAATCTACCTTTGATCCAGCAATCCATTGCTGGGCATCTACCCAAATGATCCAGTGACACTCACTAAAAAGACACCTGCACTCGAATGTTTATGCAGCACAATTCATAATCGAAGGCTGTGGAAACAGCCCAAGTGCCCATCAATCCAAGAATGGATTAATAAAATGTGGTATATGTATACCATGGAGTACTATTCAGCTCTAGAAAACAATGGTGATATAGCACATCTTATATTTTCCTGGTTAGAGCTGGACCCATACTACTAAGTGAAGTATCCAAGAATGGAAAACAAGCACCAGATATATTCTCCAGCAAACTGGTATTAACTGAGTAGCACTAAGTGGACACATAGGTGCTACAGTAATAGGGTATTGGGGAGGTGGGAGGGGGTAGGGGCGGGTATATACATACATAATGAGTGAGATGTGCACCATCTGGGAGATGGTCATGATGGAGACTCAGACTTTTGGGGGGAGGGGGGAAATGGGCATTTATTGAAACCTTAAAATCTGTACCCCCATAATATGCCAAAATAAAAAAAAATAAAAAAAAAAACTACAAAAAAAAAAATTCTGAAAAAAAAATTCTGAAAAAAAAAAAGAATTACAACATGTAACCTTCTCTCAGGTGGTTTGGCAAAAAAAGGAAGGGGTAGGTGCACACACAAGGATGCACATGTGTGTATAGAGATTGAGTATAACCAGGGTTTAAAAAACAGCGAATCTAAGGGAGGGGTACCCAGGTGTTCCTTGTACTATTCTTTCAATTATTTTAAGTCTGAAAAATTTTAAAATGAATCTAATTAGAAATTAATAAATCAATTAAAACTAATATATAATTGATAAAAATCCACTACTCTGTTGAGTTTCTTATTTGAACAAAGAGTTTGAAAGTCTGAATCTCGTACGAATAAATATCTTCTTACACTGTATATAAACCACTTGCATATATATATATATATGCATATGAATAAATGAAACGAAACAAAAAACACTGCTCTGCTGAACCAAAGAATCTCTTCGGATACACAGTCTGGGACAACCAGTTGGGGCTATAGGCTAAGCATCTTCAATGAAAGCATTTAAGCTCTTCATTTATTTTCCACTTAAGACTTTCCTTGGGGGAAACAAAAAAGAATCCAGAGTAGAAAATAAAAGGAAAACAAAACAAAATAAGTAAATAAAATCTCTAAATATAATAAGCATTTTCTCAATTTTCTACTTAACAGCAGGTAACAATTTGTTTAATTTATTGGTTTCTTACAATGACATAACATCTTACTCCAATTAGAATGGCCATTACTAAAAAGTCAAAAAACAATAGATGTTGGTACACATGCAGCAAAAAGGGAACACTTATTTATTCACTATTGGTGGGAATATAAACTAGTACAACCTCCACGGAAATCAGTATGGAGATTCCCCAAAGAACTAAAAATAGATTAATCATTCAATCCAGCAATTGTGCTACTGAGTATATCTACCTAAAGGAAAAAAATCATTATATCAAAAAGATACTTGTACTCATATGCTTACAGCAGCAAAATTCACAATCACAAAGATATGGAATCAACTTAGGTGCTCATCAACTGATGGGTAGATAAAAAAAATGTGGTGTATATAGCATGGAATACTACTCAGCCATAAAACACAATGAAATAATGTGTTTTGCAGCAACATGGATGGAATTGGAGGCTATTATCCTAAGGGAAGTAACTTAGGAACAAAAAACCATAAACTACATGATTTCTCTTATAAATGGGAGCTAAGCTATGGGTATGTATGGTCATACAGAGTGACATAATGAACACTGGAGACTCAGAAGGAGAAAGGGTGGGAGAGGGTGAAGGATGAAAAATTATTGACTGGTACAACATACATTATTCAGCTGATGGGTATGCCTAAAGCCCATGTCTCACCACTATACAACATATCCATGTAACAAAACTCTACTTTTACCTCCTAAATCTATTGAAATAAAAAAAAAAAATTATTGGTTTCTTGTTACTTGTTCAGAACTTTCTTATGAACTTTTCATTCATTAATCATACTTTTAGAAGTGATACAATTTTAAGCTGATCCTTATAATTCTCCTATAGATAATTTCTGTTTCTTTTGCAAAAACCAAATTGAGGCATGCAGAGAAACATGGATCAAAGTCCTGAAAGGAAGGTGGTAATGACATTGTCAAGAGCAAAAAGTAGACTTTAGACTTCTATTTTGCTGCTACAGATATCCTATGTGTTAGAATCATTTAGCATAGCTTGAGTCATAGAATTTTTGCTTCTAAATTTCTTCCTCATTTTGATTTTTCCCCCCAAACAGTAAACCTAGAAAAAGTACTAAGGTAATAAAACCTAACATCATAACTTATTCCTTTGCTGACTTCCTTTCCATCTCTTATCTGGCTACTGACGTATGGAAATACCTTACCAGATGACTGCCTAGATGTGTTAGGTAGTTTAATGAAAACCAGACATTAAGTGGCTATATGAGCTTTATTTAATGAAATTATTTCATGCCTACAAACTTTGTATAGTAATGATTTTTTAAGGTAATAAACTTCAAGGTTATTCATGAGGAAATGAACTAACATAGCATTAAATTTTAGGAGTTTTGGTGAACGCTATAGGAATAACTATGGATAAATATATAATTATGTCTATATGGGTACATATAGTCACAAAATGGGTTAAAACAGAATACTGGCAAAAAGGTAAATAATAGCATTTTTTTTAAAAAAATCTTTTATATTCAAGCTGTATATGACAGAATAAAGATAATAGCATATTTGGACCTATTTTGACACTAAAAATGCAAAGGAGAAAATACTGAATATGTAGCTATTAGTTACAAAATTTTGGGTGACTTTGTATATGTGCTAAATACTTTATATACTTCAATTCATTTAATCTTCACACTATTGCTCTTCTAGGGTATTGTTATCCCTATTTTACAGATGAAACAATTAAAGTTCAGAGAGCTTAAATAACCTGGCCAAGGTTACAGTAAGTTAGTTACCACTTTGAAGCCAGAACTGAAACCCAATTTAGCAACAAAACTGACATTTTAGCTAGAAATTCTAGATTTACCTCCCAATTAATCTTCTAGCACAACTGGTGAAAACAAGAAAAACCAGATCACTTTCAGTTTCATTTCCCTCCACTTCCTCTGTTAATTCTTTATTGGTGATGTTAATAAATAGCATTATAGCTAACATTAAACAAACCTTAAAGGTGACTAAAACCTTTTTTAAGACAAAAAAAGAGGTTAGATAATCTACAAACTAGATTATCAACTATCAAATAATTAAGATAATTCATATTGAAGAAAATGTACTTAAAGAAAGTAAGTTCATTTAGTAAGGTCAAATATTCAACTCGTAATTGACTTTCATGTATACAATTTTTACAATTTATAAAGAAAAGTAAAAAAGCCACAAGAATTTCTCCAATAAGAAAAAAAAATTAAAGTATTAGCATACTAGCCTTGATTGTTTCTTCAGATACTTGGTTCTGTAATGCTTTCAAAGCTTCATCTTTCTTCATATTTTCCTTTTCCATTTCCTGAAAACATACAGATTGGTAGGAAAAGTATAAGTATGAAAATAAACATTTTACCATTAGTAACAGGCTGATTAGATTTAAAGGTATGTTACAGAAACATAAACTTACTCCTTTGCTTTCTGTCAAGAGTCTATCTAGTGATTCAAGATGATGTTGTTTGCACATTATATCTTGTTGCAACATGGACATAGTCTTTTCTTGTTCTTTAAACTGTTGGTCTTTTTTCTCTAGTTGAGCTTCAAGCTAAACAGAATTTTAATATAAAATTTTTAAAATTTTAAAATAGTTAAATATAATATATGTGAAGCTACCACTGAAATTACACAGATTTTTGCATTTTGCCAAATTTACTTCAGCTTCTCTCCTTATAAAGAAGAAATGAAATCACATGCCTACTTCTTCTCCCTTTCCTCCTTCACCCATACTATGCTGAAATTGGTCTCTATCATTCTTTGGTATGTTTCAGTCTCATACATGTTTTTTGTGTGTCTATAAACAATACATAATGTAGTTTTCTGCCTTGAAAATGTACATAGATGATATCAACCCCTCTAAGTTTTGGCAACTTGCTTTTTTCACTCAATATTGTTTTAGATATTTATTCATGTTCATATATATGGATTTGGTTCATTTACTTTAATTGAAATACAAAATTCCATTGTAAAAATACAGTACAGTTTGTCTACTTTTCTACTAAGGAACAGCTAGATATTCTGCTTTTTCATCATTACAACATTGTTGCAATAACATCCTCTGTACTTATCTCTTTATGTATATTTGTAACAGTTTCTCCAGCATAGACTATCCAGATTGACCAGTTGTACCATATACAAGTTTCCAATTTCATTACATATTTTTCCTCTTTAAAGTGCATCAAAATTTATACTCACATTAGAAATATAAGAATTCTCACTCCTCACAACTTCACCAATAATTGGTGCTATCAAACTTTCAAAAAACATTTGTGAAGACAAAACATGAAATTACTGAGTATGTGTATGTATATATTACACACATTATATAGATACATTCAGGTACAGAAATAATGTGTTATATCTACTGATCACACATACATAACAACATATATTAAGACGATGGCAGCAATAGGGTTAACTAGAAAATATTTACACCAAGGAACTCCGAAAACAATCAGATGAAAACAAATAACACATTAAAAATTAAAGGCCTTTTAAGCAACTTAAGATATTCCAGAATGGGTAAAAATTGCAACTTAATCTTTCCACTAAGCATAGTGAAAAAAATAAATTCTGGGTTCTATTAAATAAGGAGAAGAACAATTTTTAAAAAAGGTATGAAGATTAACTCCAACAGATAAAGCCATTTAAAAGATTGTTAAATATTACTTCCGAAATTTCTAAAATATGAAGGAAATTTTATAAGTAAACAAGATTAAATGATGTTATAACAGATTTTCATAAGCTCTGATTCCTCAATTATCAGAGAACTCCCTTGACAAACTCATCTTGCCAATTCTTTGCACCACTTCAATATTCAAGATTTCTGGGGTTTTTTTGTTTGTTTGTTTGTTTGTTTGTTTTGAGACAGGGTCTTTCTCTGTCAACCAGGCTGGAGTACAGTAGCAATTATAGCTCACTGTGGCCTTGAATTCCTGGAGTTAAGTGATCCTCCAACCTCAGCCTACCAAGTAGCTAAAGGCATGTACCACTATGCTCAGTTAGTTTTTTAAAAATGTTTTACAGAGATGGGGTCCCATTATGTTGCCCAGGCTGGTCACAAACTCCTGAACTCAAGCAATGCTCCTGTCTTAGCCTCCCAAAGTGTTGGGATTACAGGTGTGAGCCACTGTGGCAAGCCCAAGGTTTCAAATATATCTTCCTAGAATTTCTGTCATTCTCAGATTACTCCTTACAGGCTTGATCAGGGATAAACTCATTTGAAAAATATTTATTTTCTAAATGAGTAATTCTACTTTTGAGAATCTATTATAAAACAATGTAAAATGTTAAAAAATAGCTTTACAGTGAAGTTTACAAAAAAACCAGTCATTCTGAAAAACAAGAATAACTCAAATGACATTCTGTGAAATGCAGCTACTAAAAATTATGTTGATGTGTGTTTGCATATACGTGTACTATATACATCTAAGTTTGCAAAGATGGTGAGAAACTTAATCTGGAAGATACAAATAAAGATTTTAACAATAATTCTAGATGGTAGATTTTTAAAAATTACTTTTATATAAACTTGTTTTCTTTGTTGGCACACAGTTCTGAGGTTTTTTTTTTTGAGACAGAGTCTCGCTTTGTTGCCCAGGCTAGAGTGAGTGCCGTGGCGTCAGCCTAGCTCACAGCAACTCAAACCCTGGCTCGAGTGATCCTTCTGTCTCAGCCTCCCGAGTAGCTGGACTACAGGCATGCGCCACCATGCCCGGCTAATTTTTATATATATATCAGTTGGCCAATTAGTTTCTTTCTATTTATAGTAGAGACGGGGTCTCGCTCTTGCTCAGGCTGGTTTTGAACTCCTGACCTTGAGCAATCGCCCGCCTCGGCCTCCCAGAGAGCTAGGATTACAGGCGTGAGCCACCGAGCCCGGCCAGTTCTGAGTTTTAACACATGCATAGATTCATGAAACCCCCACCACAATAGCGATACAAGAACAGTTCAGTTCCTTTACCTTCAAAATTCCCTCATGTTGATGCCATAGTCAAACTTGCCATCTACCTTAACCCCTGGTAATCACTGCATATAGCTTTTGACATTTTGAGAATGTCATAGAAATGGATAATTGTAAAACATACAACATTTTGAAAGAGGCTTCTTTCACTTAGCATATTGTGGAGATTCACCCATGTTTCTGCCTGTATCAATAGATGGTTGCTTGTTATTACTGAGTAACAGGAGGTAATAAAATTTATCCATTCACCTATTGAAGGACATTGAGTTGTTTCCAGTTTGGGGCCATTATGAATAATGCTACTATAAACATGTGTGTACAGATTTTAGTGTAAACATAAATTTTCATTTCTCTAGGATAAATATCTGGGAGTATTGGGTCGAAGTTAAGCGTATGTTTAACTTTATAAGAAAATGTCCAATTGTTTTCCAGAGTAGTTGTACCATTTTGTATTCCCCTTAGTAATATTTGAGGATTCCAACTGTTTTGCATCCTGGCCAGCATGTGCTATTGCTAGTCTCTTTTTCTCTCTCAGCATTCTAATAGGAATGTAGTGGTATTTTATTTTGCTTCTAATTTGTATTTCTCCAATGACTACTCAGGTTGAGCATACTTTCATATGCTTAATTGACATCTGTATGTCTTTTTTGGTGAAGCATCTGTTCAAATCTTTTGCAAATTTAAAAAATTGTGTTGTTTTCTTTTTGATAAATTTTGAGAGTTCTTTATATATGCTGGGCACAAATTCTTTGTTGGATATGTGATTTAGAAATACTTTCTCCCATTCTAGCTTGACTTTCCATTCTCTGAACAGTGTTTTTCACAGAAGTTTTAAGTTGATGAATTCTAGTTTAACAATTTTTTCTCTTATAGTTTTTCCAGTGTCATAACTAAGAACTCTTTGCCTAACCTAAGGTCACAAAGATTTTCTCCTACACTTTCTTCTAAGAATTTTAGAGTTTTTAAAATTTCATATTTAAATTTATGATCCATTTTGAATTCATTTTTTATGTAAAGTATACATTGAGGATCCACTTTTCTGCACATGGATACCAAACTGATCTAGTACTACTGATTCAAAGACCATCCTTTTTCCATTTTGAATTGCCTTTTTACCTTTGGCAAAAATCAATTAACTATGTTTCCTGGGGCTACTTTTAGACTTGTCTATTCTGCTAACACCAATGTTTTGATTACTGCAGGTTTATAGTAAGTATTAAAATCTGGTAGCATGAGTTCTCTTAAGTTTTTTTTGAGACAGAGTCTTACTCTGTCTCCCCAGCTAGACTGTAGTGCGCAGTAGTGTCATCATAGCTCACTGAAGCATCAAATTCCTAGGCTCAAGAGATCCTCCTGCCTCAGCCTCCTGAGTAGCTGGGACTACAAGTTCATGCCACACTGCCGGCTAATTTTTATGTATTTTCGTAGAGATGGGATCTCAGTCTTGCTCAGGCTGGTCTTGAACTCCTTAGCTCAAGCATTCCTCTCATCTCAGCCTTCCAGATTGCTGGGATTACAGATGTGAGCCACTGTGCTCGGTCCAATTTAGTTGTTTTTCAAGCTTGCTTTGGCTGGTCTGGTACCTTTGACTTTCCACTATAAATTTTAAAATCAATTATCTGGCCAGGCATGGTGGCTCATGCCTATAATACCAGCACTGTGGGAGAGTAGGGGTTTGAGAACAGCCTGGGCAACATAGTGACTCCATCTATACAAAAAATTTTTTAAAAATTAGCTGGGGATGGTGGCACATGCCTGTAGTTCCAGCTACTCAGGAACCTGAGGCAGGAGATTGGTTGAGCCCAAGAGTTCGAAGATTGCAGTAAATAGTGATTGTGCCACTGCAGCCAGCCTGGGGGAAGAGCAAGAGCCTGTCTAAAATTAAAATAGTATAAAAGAAATAAAATATCTATGTATACACAAATTGTTACTGGGATTTTGATTAGTGATGCATTAAATTTACAGATCTATTTGAGGTGAACTGATATCTTAAAAATATTGAGGCTTCCATTCTACTTGAGGTGAACTGACATCTTAAATATATTGAGGCTTCCAACCACAAAAATGGTTTTTCTCTCCATTTACTTAGGTCTTCTTTGATTCTTTTCAACATTTTGTAGTTCGGTATACAGATGTTCCACATATTTTGTTGTATTTATACCTAAGTTTTACATTTTTGGAACTACTGTAAATAGTACTACTTTTGAAATTTTGCTTTCTGATTGTTTAATGATGGTATATAGAAACACACCTGATTTTTGTATGTTGACCTTGTAGCTTGTGCCCTTGCTCACCACTTTTAGAAGCCTTTGTAGATTCTTTGCATTTTTTTGTGTAATCATGTTGTCTGCAAACATGGATAGCTTTATTTCTTTCATTCCAATCTAAATTTATTTCTTTAGAGAAACAGAGCCTCTGTCACTCAGGCTAGAGTGCAGTAGCACAATCACAGCTCACTGCAATCTCGAACTCCTAGGCTCAAGCAATCCTCCCACATCAGCCTCTCCTGGTGAAAAATTCTCTAAGTTGTCCTTCATCTAAGAATGTCTATATTGTACCTTCATACCTAAAGAAATATTTTTGCTGTATATAAATTGCATGCAGTTTTCTTCCCCCTCTTTCAGCACTAAAAAAAAAAATGTAGTTTTGTCTTACTTTTATAATTTTTATGAAAAATCTGCAGTAATTTTAATTTTTGTTCCCCTTATCTCTGGGTGCTTTCAAGATTTTTTGTTTTAGTTTTCAGCAAGGATTTTGATGTGTCTGGATTTTGATGTGTGTGCAAGATTTTTCTTTATCCTCTTTGATTTTGTTGCATGCATGTGTAAATTTATTTCCTTCATCAAATTTGTGATGCTTTCAGTCATTATTACTTCAAATATTTTTCTGCAACAATTTCATTCTCCTCTTCTTCTTTGACTCTGATGACATGAACGTTAGACTTTCTGATATTATCCCATTGGACCTCAAGGCTCTATGTAATTATATTCCAAATCTATTTTTTCTCTCTGGTTGCTCTGAATGTCTATTGGTCTATATTCAAATTCACTGACTTTCCTTACATCAGTTCCATTTTGCTATTTAGCCCAACCAAATCACAGTAGTTCCCCCTAACTACAGCTTCACTTGTCAGAGTTTAAGTTACCCATGGTCAACCGTGGTCGGAAAACATTAAATGGAAAATTTCAGATATAAACAATTCATTAGTTTCAAATCACATGTCATTCTGAGTAGTGTGATGAAATCTCATGCCATCTTACTCTCCAGTGTGTCCACACTGTATATACTACCTGTTACTTACTTAGTAGTTGTCTTGGTTACCAGATCAATTGTCATGGTAGTATAGTGCTTGTGTTCAAGTAACCCTTATTTTACTTAATAATGACCCCAAAGCATAAGAGTAGTGGTGCTAGCAATTTAGATATGCCAAAGAGAAGCCATAAAGTGCTTCCTGTAAGTGAAAAGGTGAAAGTTTTTGACTTCATATAGAAAGAAAAAAATTGTATGCTGAAGTTGCTAAGATCTATGGTAAGAACAAATCTATCCATGAAAATGTGAAGAAGGAACAAGAAATCCGTGCTAGTTTTGTGGTTGTACCTCAAACTGTAAAAGTTACAGCCACTGTGTATGATGAGTGTTTAGTTAAAATGAAAAAGGCATTAAATTTGTGGGTAGAAGATATGAACAAACTACATGTTTTCATTGATAGCAATGTGCTACACCAGAAAGCACTGAGCATATACAAAGACTTCAGCAAGGGATCCCCTGAAACAAGTGACAACAAATCATTTACTACAAGTAAGGGATGGTTACATAGATTCAGGAATAGGTTTGGACTGAAAAATATAAAAATTACTGAAGAGGCTATATCAGCCAATGAAGAAGCTGCTGCCATATTTCTGGCAGAGCTGAAGAAGTTGATTAAGAAAGGATACAATCCAAAGTAAGTCTTCTTAATTTTAATTTTGTTCTCTTTTTTAGAGACGAGGTCTTACTCTATCGCCAAGGCTAGAGTGGAGTACTGTACTTCAACACTGAAGCCTTGAACTTTTGAGCTCAAGCAATCCTCCTGCCTCAGCCTCCCATGTTGCTAGAGCTACAGGCACACACCACCATGCCTGGCTAATTTTTCTGATTTTTTTATAGAGACAGGGTCTCGTTATATTGCCCAGGCTGGTCAAATCTTCGGTTGTGGTAAAATTGGGCTCTTCTAGAAGATGCCCAAGAGAACCTATATTCATAAAAGTGCAAAGGAGGCACAAGGGCATAAGAGAAAAAGAGACCACATTCACTTTTATTACGGTATATTGCTATAAGTGTTTTATTTTATTAGCAGTTATTGTTGTTAATCTCTTACTGTGCCTGATTTATAAATTAAACATCATAGGTATATATGTATAGGAAAAAACATAGTATTATATATATATGGGGCTTGGTATCTGTGGTTTGAGACATTTAGTGAGGGTTGTGGAACGTATCCCCCATGGATAAGGGAGGACTACTGTACATATTTTTCACATAGTCTTGTATTTTGTGCTTATACCTTCTTTTTTATATTTAACGCAAGGTTAAGAGTCCTTCTATATCCTTTTTTCCTCTCAACCAATCTTCAAGCAACTGATATTTCTAGGGAAATAAGAGTCTACAAAATCACTCTTACTTTAATGTCAAAAAATATTGATTAAAGCTGAAATGGAAGGCATACTATATTTTAAAAGAGCATTGAGAAAATGATTCAGAAAGAATATGATTCTAATTATAGCTCTTGCCATTTTTTTGTGTCTATTTCCTCATCTAGAATATAAAAAATACTGGGTTAGTAATGTTTAAGTTTCTTTTCAGCACCTATATCCTAGATATTACTTACTCTTTCAATCTGCTTTTCCATTTCTTTATGCTGTTCAAGATGAATTTTCTTTGCTTTTTCAAAGGCTAAACAAATTTTCTCATGCTCTGTATTGATATTGGTTTCTAGACTTCTTATCTTTTCATTTTTTTCCTAGAAATATAAAATACATTAAAGGATATAATCGAAAACTAGTTTTACATAAAGGTACATCAGTCAGGCATTAAATGTGTCACATTCTTTACATCTTTAAAGAATCACAGTAGTGGGGGGAGGGTGGGGTGGCAGGGGCAATAGATGTAACCCTAACAATATTTGTACCCCCATAATATGATGAAATAAAAGGGGAAAAAATAAACAAGATTAAATATATATATATAAAAAAGAATCACAGTAGTTAATATTAATACTTCAAACTTTAATAAAATGGTTGTTTAAAAATATTTTATTAAAATGAAATTAAATTATTTTAAAAAAGTATTGAAAAGCATCAAAGAACTACCATTTTCTTTAATTCTATCTATTAGGATAAAAATGAGAAAACCTGCATGACAACTTGCCATACAGGCCTATTAACTTACAAATACAGAAACGAGAAATGAATGATCATAAGTGTTTAGTAGAACTTATACTTTCCTATTTGGTACATTTCATAATAATGATACTAAAACAAAACATGCTTTAACAAATTCAATGCCTAAAAGTCATAGTAAATTTGTAACAACAAAGTTAAGTTTTACCATGAGCTCCTGTTCTAGTTCTGCATTTTTTGCAGCAATAGAGGAATAAGCGACTATTTTTTCTTCCAGCTGCTTCTCTAGAGTTAAAAGTTGAGAACATTTCTTTGTCATCTGAAAACACATTGGAATAAATATAAAATTATTTTTTAAAGATAATGATTTTGCATCCTAAAATTAAATACCTGTTCTTCTTTTCAAAGTTTAAATACATTATGATAATAAACATTTGGGATGCAAAGTGAATAACTTTTTAACTCACATAATTATAAGCACTTTATAAAATAAGTGACAATTTAGAAGAAGACCAAATAGTGAAAGGAAAACCAGGGATATGCTATTTATCCCTGTTTAAAAATATTTTATTAAAATGAGATTAAATTATTTAAATACAAATATTGAAAAGCATCAAAGAACTACCATTTTCTTCAATTCTATTAGGATAAAAATGAGAAAACCTGCATGACAACTTGCCATACAGGCCTATGCCATACAGGCCTTGCCATACAGGGATTTTTTTTTTTTGAGACAGAGTCTTGCTTTGTTGCCAAGGCTAGAGTGAGTGCCGAGGCGTCAGCCTAGCTCACAGCAACCTCAACTCCTGGGCTCAAGCAATCTGCTGCCTCACGCCTCCGAGTAGCTGGGACTACAGGATGCACCATCATGCCCGGCTAATTTTTTCTACATATAATAGTTGGCCAATTAATTTCTTTTTTAATTTATAGTAGAGAAGGGGTCTCTCTTGCTCAGGCTGGTTTCGAATTCCTGACCTCAAGCAATCCGCCCGTTCGGCCTCCAGAGTGCTAGGATTAAAGGCGTGAGACCTCGCCCGGCCCATACAGGGATTTTTAAACAGGGATATTGATCATTTCTTCCATCTATGTAATACATAAATAATTTAATTCAGATCCCTACATCCAAATAGGATTATACCCTAACCAGTTTTTAAAGTAGGTATTAAACTGAAATAATATAATAAAATGTTAACAGCAGTTATTTCTAGCAACAGAATTATAATAGTTTATTTCATCTTTCCTTTCTGTATTTATTTTTTCTACAAGATGGTATTTTTATATATATAAAAAAGTTATTAATCTCAGTACTTGACAATTTCTAAGTAAGCTACTAGCTATAATTAGAACATGCCTAAAATCTCCTGTTCCATGATTAACGTAAGTTTCTATCCCACAGGTCTTTTCCTTGGATATAGAGTTTTAGATGAAAAGGCAGACATTTAATAAGTGCCGCTATAGCTGACTGCCTCCCTTGGTTTAAGGTTGAGCATAACATATACACATCTTGTCCTGGTCTGCAATCACCTAATCAGGCATACTTGCCCTTTCCTCAGTGAAAATAGAGACCATATGTTCACAATACACACACTGTCCATCTCAGAATGTAATTCATAACATATCTGTATCAAACTCACATGCCATTGTTTAAAACTGGAGATTCTATATCCCATATATTCTGAATCAGAATTGCTGGAACAGGACCAGAAATCTACATGTTTAAAGGCTTCATAGATGGTCTGAGTTTGATAAATTTGAAATCTTCATTATCACTCTTTCTTCCAACTACATAATCCAAATTCTTTTACTTACAACATTTATTAACCATATTAACTTAAAATGCAGAAGAAACAATAGACTGCAATGCAGTATTAGTTTCACCAAATTGAGACCTTTTAGATCATTAGAGAATATTTTTTACTTTTAACATAGGTTAAAACACAAAGGTTGGCCGGCGCGGTGGCTCACGCCTGTAATCCTAGCTCTCTGGGAGGCCGAGGCGGGCGGATTGCTCGAGGTCAGGAGTTCGAAACCAGCCTGAACAAGAGCGAGACCCCGTCTCTACTATAAATAGAAAGAAATTAATTGGCCAACTGATATATATATATATATATATAAAAAAAAATAGCTGGGCATGGTGGCGCATGCCTGTAGTCCCAGCTACTCAGGAGGCTGAGGCACGAGGATCACTTGAGCCCAGGAGTTTGAGGTTGCTGTGAGCTAGGCTGACACCACGGCACTCACTCTAGCCTGGACAACACAGCGAGACTCTGTCTCAAAAAAAAAAAACAAAGGTTTCCAAATATAATGTTAAAAGAATTTATAACTCATGAGAGTACCATTTTATAACCATTATAACTCATGAGAGTACCATGGTACTCATGAGAGTACCATTTTGTTTGAACTTATAAATTGGGACTTAAACATATAATTTTTATAGAAGCCTATAACAATACATTTTCCTATCTCAAAATTTAATACATATACCCAGCTAATTCCAAGCTTACTTCACTTTCTAGTTTGCTAGAGTTCGAAGCTTTCTCTAGCAGCTCCTCTTGAATCAGCTGAAACTGACTAGTTCTGTGAGCCATGTTAATCTTCAAATCAGAATTTTCCGCTTCTATTTGTATCAGCTTAGTACGTAGTTCTTCTATTCCAATAGCAAGTCTTTGCCTCTCTCTTTCATATTGCTTGTTCACAGTAGGTTGATTTTGATCTTTTATACTTTCTGCTAATAAACATGAAAGGAAAAGTATTCTAAATAAGACTTCAAGAATAAAAACCTATTTAAATAGTTGGAAAATTTAATCATAAACAAAGTTTAATTTCTCATTTAAAGAATACTAAAAGGTATGGAGAATGAGACATACAATACGGAAAATATAATTAAAGAACAAGTACTTTCTAAATTAAATATATAACAAAAAGGAAAATTTCTTCTGAATCAGTCACTTTTCTAGATAGCTAAAGATTATTCCTTTGTACCAGAAATTTAAGAGTCCTTCCCCATCTTTTATAATTCCACTTTTTTGGATAGAAATCATATAAATGTTTTTAAAGTTATCCTGTTTCCTTAAACTGAAGTTAATCATAAAATTTATTTGGACAACTTGAGATTATTAAGAATATTTTTATGGGGCTAGGCTTACACCTGTAATCCTAGCACTTTGGGAGGCCAAGGCAAGATTGCTTGAGGCCAGGAGTTCAAGACCAGGCTGGGCAACAATGTGACACCCTGTCTCTACAAAAACTACAAAAATTGGTCAGGCATGGTGGCACACACCTGTAGTCCTAGCTACTTGGAGGCGGAAGCAGGAGGATCACTTGACCCCAGGAGTTTGAGGCTGCAGTGAGCTACTGATGACACCACTGTACTCTAGCCTGAGTGACAAAGTGAGATCCTGTCTCCAAAAAAATAAAAAATAAAAAAATAAGAGAGTATTTTTATGTACTGTATGTAGATGCAGGTTCAAAAGCTACAAACAACGAATTCTTCCTAGTCCCATCTTCCTTCTCTCTAAATAGCTAATGAGAATTCAGCAATGCTTTGAAAAATTACTGAAGGTTATGTTTGACTATGCTCTTTCTCCACTATAAACCTATATTAATATATACCTCCCACTTCAAGGTAACTGAGCTTTCAGGAGTGCTTTAATGAGTTATAAGTAGGTGATTACATGAGAATGCACACAGATATAGAAACAAGTAGAGATGTGCTTTGCCTTCAAGGGTTGTATAAGCAGCCATTTCCCATCAATTCTCTACATTCACTTACTAGGCTATCAATCTTTCACCAGCTCTCTTCTTTGATGTCAGAAAATCAATAGCATTATATGTATATACTACTGCCTCTAATATAATAACTAGTACTCCCTCTGCTAATCCTATCATTTTCTTCCTTATTCTCTCTTATCACTTAGATATTCAATTTCTCTGCTGTCATCCCTGCTGCTAACAGCCACTATATTTGAAGACAGACTATGAAAAGCTAAAAATGCATTTGTTACCCTAGGGCAACCACTAAAATAATAAACTAAAAAAGTATAGATAATGAATCAATAGTAGAGAAAAAAGGCCAGGGATGGTGGCTCACACCTGTAATCCCAGCATTTTGGGAGGCCAAGGCAGGAGGATTGCTGGAGGCCAGGAGTTTGAGACCAGCCTTGGCAAAATGGCAAAACGGCAATACGCCTCCTCTACAATTTTTCTTATGAGATAGGTTCTCACTTTGTTGCCCAGACTAGCGTGCAGTGGTTTCATCATAGTTCACTGCACCCTTGAACTCCTGAGCACAAGCAATCTTCCTGCCTCAGCCTCCCAAGTAGTACAAGCATGGTGGGACTACAGGCACACACCACCATGCCTGGCTAAGTTTTTAATTTTTGAGCCCAGAAGTTCAAGGTTACAGTGAGCTATGATCTCACTAGTATACTTTAGCTTGGGCGTCAGAGCAAGACCCTGCTCTAATAAAAAAAATAGTGGAGAAAAAAATTGAATGCTAAAATATTCTTGATGCAAAAGGCGGCAGGAAAGATGAATAAAATGGAATAGACTGTAATCCTAGCACTCTGGGAGGCCGAGGCGGGCGGATTGCTCAAGGTCAGGAGTTCAAAACCAGCCTGAGCGAGACCGTCTCCAATACCTCCTCGCCCTCAGCCTCCCAAGTGCTAGAGCTACAGCGCACAACCACCAATGCCTGCCTTAAATTTTTCTGATTTGTCTTTTGAGACGAGTCTCTGTTTATTCCCACGGCTGGTTCGAAATCTGTCGGTTGTGGTAAAAATTGGGCTTCTAAAGATGCCAAGAGACACTTATTCATAAAAGTCAAAGGAGACAAGGCCATAATGAAAAAAGGACCACATTCACTTTCTTACGGTATATATTGCTATCTTAAGCGTGTTTATTAATTAGCAGTTGATTCGTTGTTAATCCTCTTACTGTGCTGATTTATAAATAAACATCATAGGTATCATGGTATAAGGAAAAAACATATATTAGATATTATATATGGGGCTGTCTTCTGTGGTTTGAGAATTTAAGTGAGGTTTCGGAACGTATCCCCATGGATAAGGGGAGAACATGTAACTCGTCACATATTTTCACCAGTCCTTGCTCATTTTGTGCTTAACTCTTTTTTTATTTAACGCCAACCGTTAAGACTCATTTATAATCCTTTTTCTCTCAACCAAAATCTTCAAGTTTCAAGAACTTGATATTCTGGAATAAGAGTCTACAAATTCACTCGTTACTTTAATGTCAAAAACATTGTGATTAAAGCTGAAATGGAAGGTGCATAACTATAATTTTAAAAGCAGCATTGAGAAAAATGATTCAGAAAGAAATATGATCTATTATAGCTCTTGCCTCTTTTTTGTGTCTATTTCCTCATCTAGACATACTAAAAGATAATACTGGCTGTAATGTTTAAGTTCTTTTCAGCACCTATTCCTGATATATACTATCTTCCAATCTGTCTCATTTCATTATGCTGTTACAAAGTAATTCTATTGCCTTTTCAAAGGTCTAACAAATTCTCATGCTCTGTAACTCGTATTATTGGTTTTAGACTTCTTATCTTTTCATCTTTTTTCCTAGAAAATTTAAAATACATTAAGATAGGATATAATCGAAAACTAGTTTACATAAATGCTCATCAGTCAGAGCATAAAGTGTCAATTTCTTTACACTCTTTAAAAGAATCACAGTAGGTGGGGGGAGGGATGTGGTGGCAGGGGCAATAGATGTAATCTCCCATAACATATTATTTTACCCCATTAACTTATGATTGAATAAAAGGAAAAAAAAAACAGATTAAATTGCAATCATACTTATATATAAAAAAGAATCAACCTCAGTTAATATTAACTTCAAACTTTAATACAGCGTCTGTTAATAAAAATATTTATAAAATGAAATTAAATTATTTTAAAAAAGTATGAACAAGATCAAAGAAACTACCATTTCTTGCCCTAATTCCTATCCTAATTAGAGTAAAAATGAGAAACCTGCTATGACAACTTCCATACAGCCTATTAATCTTACAAAACAAAACGAGAAAATGAATGGAGTCATAAAGTGTTTAGTAGAATTTACTTACTCCTAATTTGGTACATCATAATCAATGATACTAAAACAAAACATGTCTTTAGACATTCAATTGCCTAAAAACTCATAGTAAATTTGTAACAACAAAGTTAAGTTTTACCATAGAGTCCCTGTTTCGTAGATATCTGCATTTTTTGCAGCAAGTAGAGGAATAAAGCGACTATTTTTTCTATCCAGCTGCTTCTCTAGAGTCTAAAGTGATGAGAACATTTCTTTGTCATCTGAAACACATTTGAATGAAATATATAAAATTATTTTAAAGATAATGATTGCATCCTAAAATAAATATCCTGTTCTCTTTATCAAAGTTAAAATAATTATATAATAAACATTTGGGTATGCAAAGTGGAAGTAACTTTTTAAATCTCATAATTGATTAAAAGCCATTTAATTAAAAAAAAGTGACAATTTAGAAGAAAACCAAATAGTGAAAGGAAACCAAGGGATATGCTATTTATCCCTGTTTAACAATATTTTTTAAAATGAGATTTAAATTATTTAAATAAAATATTGAAAAGCATCAAAAGAACTACCATTTTCTTCGAAATTCTATTAGGATAAAAATGACGGAAAACCTGCATTGCAACTGGCATACAGGCCTTATGCCATACAGGCCTTGGCCATACGAGGATTTGGTTTTTTTTTTGAGACAGAGTCTTGCTTTGTTGCCCAGGCTAGAAGTGTTGCGAGGCGTCAGCCTAGCTTCGCAGCACTCAAACTCCTGGTCAAGCAATCCTCGCGCCTCAGCTCCGAGTAGCTGGGACTACAGCATGCACCATTCATGCCCGGCTAAATTTTCTACATATAAATTGGCCATTAAGTTTCTTTTTTAATTTATAGTAGAGAAGGGGTCTTCTCTTTGCTCACTGTTTCAAATTCCTGACTCAAGCATCCGCCCACCTCGAGCCTCCAGAGTGCTAGTTAAGGCTGAGCCACCTCGCCCGCCCCATACAGGATTTTAAACAGGATATTGATCATTTCTTCATCGTAATCAAGTACATTAAATAATTTAATTCAGATCCTACATTCCAAATAGATTATACCGCAACCATTTTTTAAGTAGGTATTAAGACTGAGATAACTCATAATAAAATGTTAACAGGAGTTATTCTAGCAACAGAATTATAATAGTTTATTTTCATCTTCCTTCTGTATTTTCATTTTTTCTACCAAGATGTATTTTTATATTAAAAGTTTATTATCTCAGTACTTGGACAATTTCTAAGTAGACTACTAGCTATAATTAAGCACACTGCCTAAAATCTCCTGTTCCATGATTAAGTAAGTTTCTATCCACAGGTCTTTTGTCCTTGGAATAGAGTTTTAGATGAAAAGCAGACATTTAATAAGTGTCCGCTATACTGACTCGCCCCTGTTTTACAGTTGACGCCATAACATATACACATCTTGCCTGGTCTGCAATCAACCTAATAGGCATACTTGCCCTCCTCAGTGAAAATGAGACCCACTTATGTTACAATACAACACACTGTCCATCTTCAGAATGTAATTCAATAACTATCTGTAATCAACACTCACATGCCATTGTTGTAAACTAGGATTCTATATCGCCATATATTCTGAATCAAATTCGCTGGAACAGACCCAGAAATCTACTGTTTACCA